CCACATGTTATTCATTGCTGTGCCTTTCAATTCGCATTGCCCCTCTTGGCTAAGTCGCTGGTTGTTCTCAGTTTTCAATCCATGACGCTTTGCGTATCCTCACCAGCCCATGCAGGAATGTTACCAGTGGGAGTTGTCTGGAATAGGACGTCGATTAGCGTAGAGTGAATCAAATAATTATGCCAAGAAGTGTGATCTGGGAGACCCTTGCGAGCCTCATGGAGGCCTGTTGGAGCCATTCGGAGGCATCTTGGGCCGTTTGGGGAGCTTTCCGGGCCATCTTGGGGGTCTATTGGGCATTATTAGAGGCCTTGAGGGCCCTCTGGTGGCTATTCAGGAGGCTATCGATCAACAGCGAGCCCCCGACGGAGTTCAACACATTGCCTCGTGGACTGCTCTAAGGACGCTCTGGGCTCTGGGATGTGCTTAGGGCCGTCTTGGGGTCCTTTGTGGCCCCCTTTTGTGAATCGAGCGATCGTGGAGCCACGGGCCAACATGAGGAACAAAAACTGCCGTCGTGAGCTTGTCCAGACGCCAGAGATCTGGGTCCTCAAGCCTGGAGGGCGCGAGGCGGCCTGGAGGAGGAGGAGGAGGAGGCGGAGGAGGAGGAGGAGGAGGAGGAGGAGGAGGAGGTGGTGGGGGGAGGAGGAGGCGGGGCGGGAGGAGGGGCCGGGAGAGGCCGAGGGGGAGGAGGCGGAGGAGGCTGCGCCGTTGCCACTGCGAGGCGGGCGGGAGGTGGGTGAGTGGCCCGTCGCGCGCGGGCGCGGCGCGGCACCAGCCCGCAGCGGCATCTGTTTTGGGGGCGCGCTCTGGCTGGCATCTCCAGGCGGATCTGGCCGTGGCGTCTCAAAGGCGCCCCGCGGGGCCTACAGCGGGCAAAAACTCACGCGGGCAGGCACTCCTGAGATGCTCGTTAGGGGGGGGCCTTTCTGGGGCCCACCTGACGGATCTGTCCGCTTCCGGTTTGACTCCAGCTCGGCTCGGGCTCGACTCCAGCCCGACTCTCGTCCGGCTCCAGTCGATGGGCGTGCGACGCAGCATCGACGCAGGAGTGGAGGGAGTGGCTCCAAGAAGGCCCCTGACGCCAACCTCCTCGCTGGCTCCGCCGATGCACCCACCGAGGGCGCCGGAAGCCCGGCCCTCGCAGCTCCCGGGCCTCGCAGCGGGGGGGCAAGAAGCCGCCCAGGGAGCCTGGAGAGTGCTCCGTGCGGCCTCTTCCTCCCCTCGCCGCGAGGCTCGAGGTGAGCGATGCAGACAATCGGGGTCGACTGCGCCGACATTCGCGTGCAAGCTGCCCGCACGAAGCCGCGCGTACGCGCCCTCTTTTCCCGTGCGGTGTGCCACGCTGGCGGCCCGCGTGAGCTGCGGCGTTCAGGTCGCTTTGCCATCGCGCGCAGGACCCGCCTCTCGTCGCTGCTCCAGTGTGGAGACATCTCTCGGCAGAGGCCCCCCGAGGCTCTGCGCTTCCTCCGGAGGTGCCCACGGAGCCTCGGAGCATCCGAGAGGGTCCTTAGAAGGGCGGAGAGAGGTGCGCCTGGTTCGGGCCGGACGAAAGGGGGGGATAGGGAAAGGGGCGGTTACGAAATCTACTGCATGCACCTGGTTTCGGCCCCGCCGCAGGGCCCATTCCTCGAGACATGGGCGCCTCCCGGCGCCGGGAGGCGCCAGGAAAATCAGCTACGTGAGCTGAGTCTCAACCCCCCCCTTTGCTATCCCCCCCTCTCGCCCGACCCGGCTGGTGGGAGGGGGGGTCGGCTGGCCCACTGCGTCGAGGCCGCAGTGGCGGGGGGGCGCTGCGCCGGCGGCGCGGGCCGGAGGGTGCGCCAGGGGAGCGTCCCAGCAGAGCACATCATCACATCATTAACGAGATCACCATCACCATCATGGCCATCATCATCATCATCATCATCAACATCATCAACATCATCATCATCATCATCATCATCATCAACAACGGCAACATCAGCTGCATTATCATGATCCTCCTCCTCCTCATCATCATCATCATCATCATCACAGCATCATCATCATCATCAGCAGAATCATCTATCATCAGCATCATCATCATCATCAGCAGCAGCATCATCATCGTCAGCATAATCGTCAGCATCATCATCATCGTCATCATCATCATCATCATCAGCATCAGCATCAGCATCAGCAGCATCATGATAGTCATCAGTATCAGCATCATCATCGTCATCAATAGCATTACACCCACCATCAATCGTTAACAGCAGCATCACCACAGCATCAACATCAAACACATCATCAGCACGAGGGGAGCATCGCGGCGCAGCTTTGTTTTTCTTGGCCCACAGAGCGCGCCGGCGCCCGCTCAGGGCTGGCGGAGGCTTCTTGTTGTCGCCGTCGCTGTCGTCGTCGCCGCCGCCGTCGTCGTCGCCTCCGTCGTGGTCCTCGTCCTCGTCGTCGTCGCCGTCTTCGTCATCGCCGTCGTCGTCGTCATCGCCGTCGTCGGTCTAGGTCGCCGCCTCCGCAG